AAAGCAAACTGTTGAGGCCAGAGCCTAGAAGGAGCCTTGCATCCAGAGTCTGTCTGGACATAAGGTTCTGGCAGTAGCCTCCAGAGCTCTCCAGTGCCCTTGGTGGTCCTTGACTTTCCTGCCATCACTAAGGTAGACCCTCCACTACAGGACAGGGCTAACCATGCACACAGTCCCCCTTTGTCACTCCTCTTAGCACAGCTGAGACCAGCTGGCATTTTCACAAAGGGCCTTACTAAACACTAAGGGAGGACAAAAGGGAAATAATTACAGAAAACATGAAAAACCCAGCCCCGGCTGCCAAGTTCCCAAAGTACAGGTTTCCATTCCTTTGGTGACAACACGTTGCCCAAAAGGCCTGGGACAAGGCCTCGGGCACCTTGCCTGGCTCTCCTTGTTCCCAGTCCTGTGGTGGGTGCCATCTTGGTTCCCACTCTGGGAACCATTTGGTCACCCATGGGCTCATCTCCTGGCCCCCTTCCCATTTGGCCCTACGCCTCCCACTGGATTCTGATCTCTGGATGGAGTCATGAGTCTTGTCCCCTGAGGGATAGCAGGGCTGTGGTGACCAACAGAGATTATGACTATACAGTAATGAGAGGTGATTCTCCCATACTTGCCCCACTCCAGAGTAAAAGACCCACCCACAGTGAAAGGTCATGAATATAGTGTAAGAGGGAGATCCCTATGAAGAGATGAAGGGCATTCAAGTAAGGAATGGCAGACTTGAAGCATCTTCCCTGTGAGGAGAAGAGGAACCTCTGAGGACTGGTCTGGTTCATAATGTTTAAGTCCCTACTGTGTGCCCTACTACTGAGCAAGGTGCTGGAGACACACATGCAGATATGCGACAGTACCTGTTCTCATAGATCTTATGGCCTTTAAGGCAGGTAGATACACAACTGTGTAGTGACAATATTGGGTTTGGGCGTCACTTTGGAGAGGCAATTGAGGTTGCTGGGGGAACCCGAATAAGGGAAGCTATAGGAGGTGCCTGGAGTGGGGTCATGGAATGTGGGGAAAGGGCTCTGGGTTGGGGCTGGGTGTGTCTGCAGTAACCCCAGCCAAGAAGCAAGAGGACAGTGTACTTTCCCAGGTCCACTGTGACACCTCTCCAGAGGCAGGTGCTAAACTGCCATTACAGGAAGAGAGAGGTCACAGGAGGGGAAAAGTTTAAAGGGTCAAAACACTGAGGTCAAAACCAAACCAGGAAACAAGTCAGGAAGGTGTTTGCTTGAGTTAAGACTTAGCTATGTAGCTCAGGTGACTTCAAACCTGCCATCCTCCTGCCTCAGCCTCCCTGGTGTTGGTCTTACAAGGCAAAACTATTATGTTTGGTTGAATCAGGAAGTTTTACATCAAAAAGTCAAGATGGGTTAGGACAGGTATTTCAAAGGAGGACTGAGAAGCCGGGTGTGGTGGTGGGTGTGGTGGCGCACGCCTGTAGTCCCAGCACTGGGAGGCAGAGGCAGGCGGATCTCTGTGAGCTCAAGGCCAGCCTGGTCCACATAGTGAGTTCCAGGACAGCTGGGTCAGCTGGGAGACCCTGTCTCAAAAAAATACAAAAAAAAAAATGGGGGACCCTCTCAAAAAAAAAAAAAAAAAAAAAAAAAAAAAAAAAGCCCAACAACAATAACAACAAAAAACAAATCAAAGGAGGACTGAGGTTAACACAAAGTGTGGGAAGCTCTGTGTTTTCAGCAGTCTGGGGAGTCAAGGCTGACTGGTAGCAGCTCACACAAGAACTCTGAGGCTGCTGAGGTCACTGTTTCTCCAGCTTTGCTCTTCATGTGGACACATTCACCCAGGATTCTGAGAAGGTCAGCTCCTAGGACCAGGACCTCCTCCTACACTCCAACTATCACCAACAACACCAGAACAAGGCAAGGGGTAATTAAAACCTACGTCCTGGGATTGTGAACAGAAGTCAATGAATTAAAGTGTTAAAGCAGCAGGCCTGGTGCTTAGTGTATAATAGGTGTTCAATAAATACTGGTTCTGCCCTTCAAAGAACAGCAAGGGATTGTGGGGGATATGCATGCAGTTAAAGGTTGAACTGGGGATACAGTCTCTGTCATCTTTTTAGCAAGTTGATCTACTTAGACAATCTCAGTGACGGTGGAAGGCCTGGGATGTGATAGAATGAATGGATACATGTACTTGCCTGTGTTTATATGTGCACAAATCTCTCCATCCTCTTGTTCTTCTGCAATTGGCAGGAGCATGGTTTCCTTATTTCCCTTGGCTCTTGTCTGTGCTGTGAAAGGCTCTGCTCTATAACTGTAGCATTTTTATTTCTCTAACAAGAATCCAAAATTGAGTTAGAAACCACACCCAAAACTACCATAGGTACACACATACACACACACACACGCACACACACACACATACACACACACACACACACACACACACACAACCTTCCCAAGGTAGAAAGCATAGACTCAGATAGAAGGAACAGAATCAGAAAATTAAAGCCATGGCTTGAGGTTATATAGCTGGCCAGTGGTGGGGCCACAGTACAGGGGAACAGTTACAGGTACACCGGCCCTGGACAGGCAGTGAGCAAGAATAAACTACTCAAGCCATGGAAATTTTGGAGTCTTCTTGGTTCCTGCCACCTTGCCTTCCTTAGCAAATTCATCTCACAAGCCAGGAAGCTAGATTTAGAAGGGTCTGTGGTCTAGGGACAAGAGATTGAAAAGCACTTGTGGGGAATCCAGACACCACCCAAGGTATTAAGTTCATTCAGTAATGAAGAAGTGCTTCAGCATCCATCTGTGAGACTGGAATTGCGGACTGGAATTTCTGTGTGAAATTCCCAGTATTTGGGGCAGGACTTAGAACACAGTAGGGCTAAAGTAATGTGTTAAATGAAATGATGCATGAACAAATACATACACACAATGCACACACCCCTATTTAAGCACAATTGCAGGCAAATGTGCCTAATCCATGAGTGCTCATGATATTCAATATAGACAAGCATATATTATACAGATAATTAAGAACATACACTTGGGCTGATGAGATGATACATCAGGTAAGCGTCCTTCCACCAAGTCTGACAACCTGAGTTTCATCCCTGGAACCCACATGGAAGAGAGAGAACCAATACCAGAAAGTTGTTCTCTGACCCCCAATGTACACTGTAGCAACACACACACACACACACACACACACACACACACACACTAAAATAAATGCAAAAAATTTAAAGATACACATTTGTGCACAATACATACTTATGCCCACATGCACAAATCTGATCCAAAGTAGACACACATAAATACACAAACATGTAGATGCAGGATGTTGTGGGAAAAATGTATATGATCTAGATACCTGCAGCATCCATGGATCTGCTTTGACCCTTTGCCATACTCTGGAGCCTGGAAGGAATCTCTCTACTCTAAGATCCCTAGCATGTTAGAGCTCATCAGACAGTTCTTTGCAGCCCCCGCTTAGCTGGCCGGAGAATGGCCCCTGGCTCCTGGACCTGCAGGCTCAGGGCCTTCCAAACTGGGAGGCAGCGTCTCTGGCAGTCCCTTGTGGGTGGGCAGCAGGCAGCGGACACAGAGGTCACTGGGGTGAGAGCTGGGACTGCCCTGGCCTCCCTGCCTCTGAATGGAATGTGATCCCAGGGCCACCTCCCAAGCCCATCTCCTCCCCCACAGCCACCCACCAACCCCAGGCCTAGCCAACTTTTGATTGTGAACCCTGCCAGGTTTTTGCATTCTAGGAGCTGGCCACAGAGGTTTGTGAAGGTGGTGGTGGTAATGAACAATGGAGGAGCAAAGGAAGTTACACACAAAAGCACAGACATGCATGCACAAAAACACTGCCAGTATTTACCAACTCTGGCAGGTACATTCTTGCTGTCCCATCAAAATACATGCACAGACACCCTTCCAAACATCTCCAGGGCCACAGCATACACACACCCACACAATCATAGGAGCATGCAGATCTGTGACATATATTCACATTTGGATTGTCAGTGAACATACACACACACACCCATGCAGACACCCCCTCCCCTCACCACACTCCTGCTGCACTGGAGCACTTCCTCTTTTGCCTGAGCTCAGGAGGAGATGCCAGGCTAGTCTGTTCTTCACCCCTAGTAGGCTGGCCTGGCCTAGCAGAGGAAGTGGTGGGGGACCTAGGCCTAGCCAGGTGCCCTGGGGTGCTTCCTGTGGACCAGGCCACACCTGGGCTGCCCTGCTGCCTGCCCACTAGGTGAGGTAGAGTAGATGGGATGAAGGGACTGTTCTGGAGGCAGTAGCTTGCGTTCTATCTCTGCCAGATCCTGGGACACGCAGACAGGCACAGACAGGTGCAGTCAATCTCTCTCTCTCTCTCTCTCTCTCTCTCTCTCTCTCTCTCTCTCTCTCTCTCTCTCTCCTCTCTCTCTCTCTCTCTCTCTTTCTCTCCCCCCTCTCACACCCTGTACATCCCGTTTTGCCTCTCACATGGTACCGCTTGCACCCCCCCCCCAAAGTGAATGTGTAGGTTGTTAAGCATCCACAGGTGGTGCATGCTTACAGGTTCGGGTATTTCATTTATAAAATGGGGTTAGCGGTCCTTTCACCCCTGAGGCGCCAAGGGATGACATGCGATGGCCATTAAGGACCACAGCAAGGTGCTGCTTCCTAGGGCTGCCCTGCCTGCAGAGATGGCTAAAGTTCCCAGCGTCACTTCCATGGCACATGTTAGACGCCGCACCTGAAGGCTCCCACTTCAGGTGGCTGGCCCGAAAGACCCAAGTGGAACCGTGGCGGTCGCCGCAGGCTGACCCCAGGGCAAGCTAACTCCAGGGTCCGAAGGGCCTGGTGTTCTGCTCAGGCAGCGCCCCTTCCACGCCCAGCGGGGTCACGCGCACTCAGGTCCCGCCGCCAGCCGGCTCTCAGCTCACCGCGCACGCCGCTCCGGGGCCGCGGGGCTTAGTGGGCGGGGCGGGCTACAGCCCCGCCCCATGCACAGCCTTGAAAACCAGCTTCAGTCCACAAGGGAGCTGCAGTCTGAGCAGGAAACTGCATCTTCAGACTTCTGCTAATCCACAAGAGGAGCTAGGATCACCGGACGCCCAAGGACCCTTTCAGAGACTCGCTTGCCCCACGCCGCTCTGACTCGTCGGCCACTCCACATCAGGTTCCCCAGCCACAGCCTTACCTGTGAGCTCCGGATTTCCCCGGCTTCCAGTGGATGCTCAGGCTAACCACAGGGACCTCGGGGCAGCAGTGAGCCAGACATCCAGACCTCCACTCAGCTCTCTTCTGGTACCAGCGTCTCCCCGAGGGGGACCAGCATGGTGATTGTGCCTTGGAGATCCCTGCTCAGAACGTCGGAGAAGATGCTGACTATGAAGCTGTTCACTTGCTTCTTGCAGGTCCTGGCTGGGTTAGCACTTCCTGCAGAGAACCCCCAGGTAAGGACCTGGCCTGACTTCTCCTTACCTTCCTATCCCAGCCCTCAAAGAAGGGAAGGAGGGTGTCTGAAATCATAGACCCACTCCAGAGAGCAGGCCCTTCTAGGATGTCCACATAATTTCCTAGAGGTTGGGCTGTATCCCTGGCCTCAGGGAGGAGACCTCAAGCTAGGCAGTCCCCAGCTCCTGGGGGCTGTCTTGGTGGTGGGGGCAGGGAAGCCACAGGGAAACAGGGAGGTTTCCTGTCTGGCCCTTGGAGCCCTAGTGGCTTTGCTAAAAGCATCTGTCCACTAATCCCAGGCAGTTCCCTGGCCTTGTGGTCAGGGTTGAGGCCCTATGACCAACCAGACGCCCCTGGGACCTCTGACCCAGCCTGGTGGGAAGAGGCTGTCTAAAGAAGTTTGTGGTGGGAAGTTGAAGCTCTTCCCCTACCAGGACTCAAGATTGAGCTGGGGGCTCTTGGGTGGGCTGTGGATGTGACAAGGGATCCTGCCATGCCCTCTCTCCCTGGTGGGTGGCCGAAGGTCCTGAGTGCAGGGCCTGGGGAAGTGAGCAGGGCCCTTTTCCCAGGAGCTGGGTGAGTCTGGCTGGGAGCCAGATTGGGCAGCAAAATCCCGACAAAGCCAATGTGTTCCCTTCCTGCTGCACTGCCTGCTGTATTGGGAGTCCCTAGCCCTGGCCCAAGAGAGGGTGGGTTGGGTAGTCAGTCGCCTGGCTGAGCAGCAGGGCCATCAGCCTGCCTTCTGGAGGGCTGGCCAGAGGTGTAATGTTACTGGCAGGCAGCACCAGCTCATGGCGCCGCCTTCTCCAGCCCCTGAACTCCCACCAGCTGATCGCCTCCCCCTGGGCTCTGGCACCCAGCCAAGGCTGGCTGTAGAAAGCCCAGCAGGGATGGCCTGGGGGCTGGGTGGAAGAGAGACCCCACAAGATTACAAGCTCTTACAAAAGGTTTCCAAAAACTTCTTAGCCTCACACTCTTTTCCAAATGAGGAAACAGAGTCCAGGCGGTTTTTAGTGGCACAAAGAAGAGACAGCTCTGAGGCAGGACAGTATGAACAGAGGATGGGGAGGAACTTAGAGGGCAGAGTCCCAAGGAGATATCACTCATAACTGCACCCTTCTGTCCACAGCAGGGGGACCTGTCTGCCGGGAACAGCACAACAGAAGCAAAAGGTAAGTCAGCCAGGCCAGCTATATAAGCTGAGCCCCTCTCTCTTTTCCTCATTAGCCCCGGCAGTGTGAATGTGGGAGCAGGCTGGGGAGAATTTGCAAGCTGGACATCCTAGCTGGAGCCTGAGAGCCCACCTCTTGTGACCCAGTGGCCTAGAGAGGTATAGTCATGGGTTAAGGTTGCCCAGAACACAGACAGCAAAACAGGATAGCCAGGATTCATCCAGCTGGCTCAGAGCCCCTGCCCAGCATGCTGTAAGTGTGCATGCAGATGGGGTCTTGGAGGGCAAGGTTGGTGTTGAGTGCCATGGGTCAGACTGGGAGGTCTAGGAACTGGAAGCAGTGGGCAAGCAGTCAAGAAGCTCCAGGCAAGATGAAGAACTCTCCCAGCAGCCCAATCCTGGAGGAGCTGTGGGGCTCTGACCAGACCTTTCCATTGATTACAAACAGGCAGACTGTGTGTCATGCCCTCCCTGGCCCCTTCACTCTCTGCCCTGGGTTGTATCAAGACAGAATCTTCAAAAGGGCAGCTAGACATTTGCCAATATGCAGAAGGCAGGAAACCCATGCCAGGTCCTTTCCTCCTCCCTCCATGCCTGTCTGAGATGGAGGGTGGCAATATACTACTTGCAGAGGCTTCCAGCAGTACAATGGGAGAGGGGGCATACATGTAGGGATGTGCGCCTGCACACAGATAATAGTTGGATCACTGTCTGTGGGCTGGGAGCACTGTCTACTGCCTACCTGCTTATTCACTGCCTCCCTCAGAGCATCCTATCCCCAGCCTGGCCATACCCTCACACCCGAGGCCCAGACCACTGAATGAATGTGTGAAGGAAGTAACTGCCTCGACTTCATAGACTCCCCATTTGCTGAGCTCTCTAGAACTCACCCAGTATTACAGTGGTCCCTGGGATTTGAGGAGGGATCTATCATCACCTCCACCTGTATAGGCTAGTTCACCTGACATCTTAACAAGCAGGAGGATTGTATTGTGGCCAAGGAAATACAATGATCTCTGAACAGCAGTTGTTAAAACTTGACCATCTCACCCCTTTCTGCTATACCAGACTCAGAAATAGCGTGGTCTAGCCATGGACACTGATTTTTCATTACTGCTCTTCCTGGTCCCAGTGATGGGTATATTTCGGCACTTGGTCTGACCACATGCTGTGAACTAGGAAGGTAGAGGTGCCCTCTGTGTTTTTTTTAAAAATATTTTATTTTACTATTTTTATTTTATGTGTATGAGTGCATTGCCTGCATGTATGTGAGTGCACCCGTGTCGTGTAGTTCCTCGGAGGTCAGAAGAGAGCTTCAGATTCCCCTGGAACTGGAGTTAAGGATGGTTCGTAGCCACAATGTGGGTGCTGGGAATCGAACCCGGGTCCTCAGCAAGAGCAGTCAGTGCTCTTAACCCCTGAGCCATCTCTCCAGCCCTCCCTCTGTGTTTTACAGATAAAGAATCTGAGGCTCAGAGAGGACCCTGGGATCATCCAAAGCCCCAGGCACTCTTGAGTGTATCTAGCAGAGCCAGCAGCTCAGCCCTAAGCCTCCCAGCTGCCCAGTGGCTGAGCAGGCATGAGTAGTGTGTCCCTTGAGGCAGGCTGGCTGCATGCCTTGCCAGTGAGGACACCTGCTGGGCTCCGGCTGATGGCGAGTAGCTACTGCAGAGGTCTCTCCAGAAGCTAGCCAGCAGGATTAAACAGTTCTGTTCTTAAAGCTTCTGTGTTCTGCGTAGTAAGCAGCTGGGGACCAGTGGAAGTGCACCCACAGGACTGCACAGGGAGCTAAGAGCCCCTTCTGGCCCTACAAGAGGCCCTTGGGGAGGCCTAGCCCTGACCAGGAGTAGCCTCCCAGTCCTCTTACCACCCCCTCCCACCCAGAGCAGGTCTGGGGCTAGCACAACTCTACTGAGAGAAGCAGCCCTCATCTTGGAGCCCTCCCTCCACCAGCCCCTCACTCAGCCTTTGTTTTTCCCACATTCCCAGACTAGGGTCTCCAGGGATGAATTGCCCTATTTCCTGGAGCTTCAGGTAAACCAGGCTCAGCCTACCTCTTTGGTCTTTCTTTATCATGGACCAGCCTCTTGGGTCACTAAAGGATGGGGATTCAGGATTTCTCAGGAGCCCAGATGCTGTAGATACAGTGTTGATGTGACAGGACGTGGGGTGAGAGTTAGTTTGTGGGATGGTAGGGGTCTAGGCCTGTTGCTCTCCTCCCTGATGGCTGGTTCCAAGGCAGGAGCCTGAGATTTCATGGTGCTTTGCAGCTGATAGCTCCTCTCCTCTTATTTATGTTTCTACCACAGAGATTAAATGTTCAGAGTGGTATGGTGTTCACAAAAAGTTTAGACTAAACACATGGCTCATGGAGCTGGTGAAAAGAAGATGCTCTCTGACCCATGTTGCAAAGGCAGACTTTCTCAGGACTCTAGGGCTGCCAGTGGGGAGAGAGGTCTTGTTTCTCAACTTGAGTCCAAGGAAAATGTCCAGTGGTCTGCAGAAGGAGAATCAAGAGAGCCCTCACCTCCCCCTCCAGCCCCTGGTCCAGCCCAAGTGCCTTCAGAGCAGAGCAGGGCAGGATGGAGCACCAGGCACTGATAAGCACGGTTTATTGCCTCAGTGGCTGCCCCACCAGCTCCACGTGGATGAACTGCCTCTTGGGTATTTTCCACCAGCTTGCAGCCTTTCCTGAGGGCCTCTTCTATGACTAGAGTCTATTTTTCTTCTGAGATTACCCTGAGATGCGTATCCTCGCAGGACCCATGGAATGGACTTTGGCTCCCTCTGCTTCCTAGGAAGGACCATGGAACTGAGGGTCTGCTTGGGAGAGGCCACTGCTCTCTGCCAAGGCTGAAGGGCTCACAGATGACCCAGCTCCCCAGTCTCCCACCAGCTGAGGGTGACCATCAGATATGGAGCAGGATGACCTAGGCTGGTCAGGGATTTCTCTGCTCATGGTCTCAAGGCTGACCAGGACTGAAGCACAGGCAGTCTGTCAGAGCACAAGTGACCTTAGCAACCATCTAGTCCCAGCCTGCTTCTCTCTCCCCAGAGCAGGAAACTGATCTACCCAGAAAGGCTGTGTGACCTCTCCAAGGCCACACAGCCAGTGTAGAGACTGAAGCCAGATGGTCTGACTCTGGCCACTCCCTGAAAACCTGTGTTTGAGTTGTGGTGCCAGGCTATCCCCTGACGGAGCAGCATCTTTTGAGGGATTCCAGATCAGTTTCCCAAAGATCTCATAACCACCACTAGGACATTGTGGAAGTTGGGAATGTTCCTGGTAATCCTCAATGAACTGTCACCTCATCCATCAGTCAGGAGTCTCTAAGCCTGTGTTTACTGGGGCCTTGCTCTTGCCTTCCCAGAGCCTCATTTTGGTTGTAATGGAGATAAGAGCCACCAGTGATGATGGAGAGGAGGTGTGCCCAGGAGCCAAGCAGTGCTCCAGAGAGGAGTACCACTGCTGGTGGAGTGGCTAGAGAAGGCTGCAAGGAGGGGGAAAGCACATGGCCCACGTGGAACAAGATCTTAAAGCTGAGGGTGAATGCTGATTTGCCCTGGCTCCCTGTTCAGGCTGGTGGGACCACATGGGGAGGAGGTAGACCACGTGGCTGGGTGTACTCTTGGCTGTAAACAGAAGAGCTGGTACAAGTGGGACAGAACATGAGAGAGCTGTAATAGGGTTGAGGGAAGAGGGCAAGGGAAGGCTAGCCCTTCCTGGGGGACTGTTTTTAGCAAGTTCCTCAAGAGCCAGGAAGCACTAGGTTAGACAAGAGAAAGATCCAGAAGCTTGAGGAGTGGCCAGGACATAGTCCTCAAAGCTCCAAGGAACCAAAGCAGACATGGCACCTGAGTAGAAAATAAAATGAGAACTGGGAATCCTGAGTGATTCTGCTTCACTGGAATTTGAGCCCAAAAGAGCAAAGGGGTCAGTAGACACCCCAGAGTGATGGCAGCAACAGTCCAGAACAGAGAGACCCCAAATAGGGCCAGGGCTTCCTAGAGGATTTTTGTGGACTAAACTCAGTGCCTTGGGACATCAAGGAATGAGTTCCTGCTAAATTAACCCAGCCTTCTGTCTCCCTATAGTGGTGCCCTTCAATGAAGTGTGGGGCCGCAGTTACTGCCGACCAATGGAGAAGATGATTGATATTGTGGATGAGTACCCCAGTGAGGTGGGGCACATTTTCAGCCCATCCTGTGTCTCCCTGTTGCGCTGTACCGGCTGCTGTGGTGATGAGAGTCTGCATTGTGTACCATTAAAGACAGCCAACATAACCATGCAGGTAGGGATGTCCTCTACATGTCACCACCTGCCCCATAGCCCACACCCTATCCAGAGGTTCACAGAACCTTCCTGCTAGAATTTACTGAGAGAGGGACAGAGGCAGGCCAAGGTCCCATGATGAGAACTGAACTCCCAAACCAGTATCTCTTACTTCAGCACAGGGCCTGTCTTCTGAGCCTCCATCCTGGCTGGGAGCCCCTCACCTGCCCCTCACTGAGCATCCAACTTTTCATTTCCATAGGTCGTGAAGATCCCCAACATTGTAGCGCAGCACTCCTACGTGGAACTGACGTTCTCTCAACATGAACTCTGTGAATGCAGGTAAGTCCTTGGTGGGCAGCTGGGATAGACCCGTGCACTTAGCAGCCTCAGCAGGTCCCCACAGGAACCCAGGGCAGAGGCAGAGGCTGCCAACCTTGCTGCAGGCTACACTTGCTTCCCTAGCAAGTGGTCCTGGACAGAAGTCTTTCATTTTCTGTCCCCCAGCAGCCAGCTTGGCCTGAGGAACTGGTCCCAGCAGCTGGAGTATAGCTGCCAAGATGTCACATGGAAAAAGGAGGGCTGACAACCTCCCAGATTTACAGGGGCCCAGTGCATGTCACACTCCCACCTTCTAAGATGAGAGGCGGCTGTCACAGGCCCCTAGAATTGGTGCCTAGAGGCAAAGATATTGCAAGCCTGGACTTGATTCTGAACCAGGCTGCATGCCCACAGAGGGAACAAACTGAGCTGAGAAACAGAAGGATGAAATCCCTATAGAAGGAAAGGGACAGGAGAAAGGAAACACAATGATGTCTTTAGAGTTGAAGCCCACTGCTACCTGAAGACTGGCCAGCACTCGGCTTTGCTGTGTGTGTCCCAGGTTCTGGGGTCATGTGTTACCAGGAGCAGCAGGCCTGGCATACCATTCAGGTTCAGGAAGAGTGAGACGGGTTGTTGCTTTTGGTACCATTTGGCCATGGACAAAGGCACCAGACTAAATGGCCTAGATGAGTGGAATATGGTCCTCATGACCACCTTGCCCTGATTGCACAGATAAGGAAATCCAGGCTCCATGCAGTTCTGTGATTTGCCCAGCCAGTGAGCATGGAAGAGGGATTGGGGTTTGGACTTGGCCTGCCTTACTCCCAAACCTGCCCTTTTCCCTGTTTCCGCTCTTAGCCATCACCACATTCTCCATAGGCCTGGTACCACCTAACCCTGGTCCTGCCTAGTGCCCAGGGCTCTGGCTGTCCTCTTTGACCCTCAGCCCTGGCTCCAGGCTCTCTCCATGATGCCAGTGTTAGGGCCCTGACTCAACATGTTCTCTTCTAGTCAGGTAACAATAGCTCAGTCGGGAGCCCTTCTAAGCACAGGCTGAATTGTGACTTTGACCTTCTAGATCACCTTTGCCCTCACAGCCACTCTTTTGGGGCAAGCAGACTAGGAGAGTGAAGTTCCAAGTGTCTCTGACTTGTCCATATCCAGAGGTGTGACTGGTCATTCCCAGGGAACTGCCAGGACAGCACTCCTTCCCTGGCCCATGTTGCCTCTCCCTCTTCTATTCCAGCCCCTGTTCCTAGGGAACACTGAAGCCCATCCCTTTTCATCAGGCCAGGCCACAGGGACACCTTTTTTCTCATTTCTGGGCCACAGTCCCAGGAGGCAGAGCTGGAACTTGTCTGGTGACTGTGAAACAGCTTCTGCTGTTGCCATGGTGGGATGAGGGCTAAGGAAGGCAGCCTTAACTGTTGGCCACCATTACCTTGTCCATAGTCTTGCCCATCATTTACTCTCCTTGAGGAAACTCCCAGAATGCACCCTGGAAGGAAAGGGAGAAAGTGAACAGAGAAAATAAAGCAGCAGAGAACAGGGTCTGAAGACCTCAGATTTGATGCCAAGAGGCTGAGCGAGCAGGGGTGTGTAATGAAGAGCCCCAAGGGGGAACTGAGACCTCTCAGGGCTGCCAGAGCCTAGGGTGGGAGCCCAAGCGCCCAAGAAGCCCCCTGCCATGGCCTCTTCATTAGCTCAGTGCTGCCCCCTAGTGGCCATAGTGCAGCTGTAGTACCAGCCCTTGGGAAATTCCAGGGGGCGGGGGGTGGGTAAAGGAAGCATCCACTTACTATTCTCTTCTGCCCCTCTTTGTTTCCCTAGACCTATTCAGGAAAAGACGATGCCAGAAAAGTAAGTGTACTGGCTGGGGATCGGGGCTATTCTCAGGCCTGACAACCCCTGTCCTAGTACAAGGGCCCCAGCTACTTTGTCCTGACGCTTGGCTTATTGCAGGAAGAAAGCCGGCAGGGGGAAGAGGAAGAAAGAGAAGCAGGAAGCCACGGAGGATGAAGCCACACCTGTGAGTGTTCAAGGAGGTGGGGGTGAGGGGGCCCAACCTGCCTTGCAAGGGTCAATGGTCAAGAAGGGGAGAGGCAAGGCTGGGGTAATCTTAGGACTGGAATAGGGTCTAGGATGCATCATCAAGGGACTTTGGTTCTTGTCCTGGCCTAGCCCCTTATTTCTGTGTGACCTTAAATCGCTTTTTCTGTAAAATGATGGGGCAGGGAGTACAGCAAGCACGGGTCATCCTACAAGCATTCACCAAGCACTTCCTGTGTGCCAGGCACCTGAGCAGACAACCCAAATCCCTGAACTCCCAGGGCTTGCTCTCTACTACCTACTCAGCCACTTCCTGGCAGTTCTGGGGCAGGTACAGCCTCCTGGCTGTCAGGCCAGTGTCTCTGGCTCCAGGTCCCCTTGCTTCTTTTCCCCCTCTCTGTTCCTTACTCATCTTTGCTTCATACCTGGGGGCAGCAAGCTGGAGTCCCAGGTTCCAGTGTAGCTCAAAGAGAAGGGTCAGGGAAGGGACATCCCCATCTGGTGGCATACCTAGTTAGAGTGTTCCCCATACACATGGGCTGTCCTTCAGAATCTAAAACTCCTTTAGTCTCCAAAATAGAATCATTTGGTGTGAAAATGCTTTGGGTGTGGAGCTGACCCCAGACTCAACCCCACCAGACAGATCCCCACTATGTGAAGACAGGACTACCAGGAAGTCTGTCCTCCTAAGCATTGTTGCCCTTATTTCTGCCCTGAACCCACAGGAGTTTGGGGAAAGAGCTGGCAGTGAAATCAGTTTAGAGCCACGATCCAGGCAGGCAGGGCCAGATGAAAAGTCTCATCATGCCATTTCCTGGGTATTGGTTTTCAGACATCATATTCAGGAATCTCCCAAAAGAATTTCAAAACCCCTGTGCCTCTTGCTCAATTTTAAGTTGACCTTGAACATTTTTCAGGGAGGGAGGTTGTTTGAGACAGGATGTCATTCTGTAGCCCAGGTTGGCCTGGAACATATTATGTAGAACAGGCTGGCTTTGAACTTGGGGCAATCCTCCTGCCTCAGTTTCCCAAGTGATGCCACTGTGCCCAGTGACCTTAAACTTTTGAAATAATACTATTAAACAGTTGTAAGGGATATAATTTCTGGACTATTGAAAATATTCATGTTTTAATATAATGTTAATATCACAGTGTATAATTCAGTCTCAGATGCATCCTGTGAACTGCACTGCCCTAATTTAATACTCATTATTATCCAATTTTTTAAAAATCTGCAATGAAAAAATATGTGTGCATACTCTCTTAACAATTACACGTTTAGGAGGTGGAGAATTGATTCAGCGGTTAAGAGCGGGTACTGCTCATGCAGAGGACCAGAGCTTGATTCTCAGCACCCACACTGGTCACAGCTACCTGGAATTCCAGCTGCGAGGGATCTGACACCTCTGACCTCCATGGGGACCTGCAATCACATGCACATAATTCTCCTCATATACACATAATTTAAGAAAATTTAAATTAATTTTATTAAATAATAATTAAATATTTGTATTTCGATTCATATTTTCCAAGGACATACATTTTATTTCCCCACAGAACCTCAGCTGAATGTAATTTCATTTTCAGTTATCAAACATCTTTTATTTATCACCTGGTTATATTTATATGCCACTAAGATGGTATCTGAGTTTGAATTATTTTAAATTTCCTGTGATCATAAAATCAAATTACATATTCTTAATAAATTATCAAAATGATTATTAGTAGTTTATTTGACCCAAACACCACAAATACATTGCATTTTAATAAATGAACACATAAAATTGTCATCCCTCTTACTGGAAATACATCTTAAGGAAATGGATGTGGCTTCCCCTTCTCAATTAGTTAATGAGTCCACTGATGATGCCACTTCCTGCTGGACTTAGACAGGACAGTGGAGAAGCTTCTCTCTGTTTGGGATTTTTTATAGATAAAAAGTTGAGAAACTGGGGCTGGAGAGATGGCTCAGCGGTTAAGAACACTGGCTGTTCTTGCAGAAGATCCGGGTTCGAATCCAGAACCTACATGGCAGCTAACAACTGTCCGTAACTCCAGTTCCAGGGGATCAAATGGCCTCCTCTGTCCTCCAAGGGCATTGCACGACATAGGTACACTTAACCTACATGCAGGCATAACACTCACACACATAAAATTTTAAAAATAAAAAGAATTTTTTTTTAAAGTTGAGAAACCATGCTCACATAAATAAGTAAACAGAATTAGATGCCACTTGATTACTGGAATTCCTTCTAAGTAACTGGCCCCAAACCTCAAGGTGATCTACTAGCAAAAATGACTTCTCTCTGACTGATGATTCAGTGTTCTTTAATTTCCTTGAAAGCCTTGGGAACCATTTGACTTTCAGGAGGCTTAACAAATACTTAACCAGGTTTCTTGTCTCCACACTTACTGACCTCTCACTGTGCTTAGTATACTTCTTCCTTGTAGAAAAGCACTTTCATAGGGTTTGGATCATCCCTTCCTTTTTAAAGGGGAAAGGATGATTATAGATGGGACAGGAGACCTCAGGCACTTACTCATACAAAGTTAAAACCAAATACCCAGCAGGGTGTAGTGGTGCAAGCCTTTAATTCCAGCACTCGGGAGGCAGAGGCAGGCAGGTAGATCTCTGTGAGTTCAAGGCCAGCCTGGTCTATATAGCGAGTTCTAGGCCAGCTGGGGCTACAGGGAAACCCTGTCAAAAGACCAAACAAACAAACAAAAACCCAAATACCCAAGAAGGCTGAAAATTGATTTCCTTAAAAAGACTTATTTCCAGAATAAGAATGTAGCTCAGTGGTATAAAGCTTGCCTACCATGTGAAAGAACCTGAGTTCAATCCCCAATGCCACAAGAAATATAATAAAATAGTAATAATGCAAATTCCCAGGCTTCATGAACATTTGTTTGAAGACTGCTGTCCTGGGGTAACCAGACACATTACTACATGATGCCAGACTGACTTCTAATGTCTCTGACATTGAGTATCTGTGTGATAGGAAAGTTTCCTAATCCTGTTAATCCTCATCTCATTTGTGAAGGAACAATATTCTAATGGTTTAAGGGTAATGAGACAGTACCTGGTACAAGGCTGGGCCCCTGGGCTAGTGCTTGGCAAGGGAGGTCCTCAGCTACTTGCTTCCCTGGGGGCAAGCATGATTCCCCTAGTGTTGCTTCCTCTTGCTGCTCCCCATCCAAGCTTTCCCTCTGGATCCATTCCTCTCTATAGGAGGGAACCTTGCCTTCTACAGTGTGCTGATTCTCTTGTCCTATCTGTATTTGGTCTTTGGCAGGTGCGGTGATGCTGTTCCCTAGAGGTAACCAGCTCCTCCAAGGAGAGACCCCACACCCAACTCATATATTTATTACCATCACCCTCTCAGAGCCCTCCCTGCTGGTACCTACCCCCTATTTATTAGCCAACTCATCCCTGCTGAATGACTCGCTCCCTCCAAGATGAGGGGCATGAAGGGACAAGACCCTCAGGACTTCAGTGCCTTACACAGAACGTAAGAGAAAGAAAGAAGCCGGTCACGGATTCATGGGAGCTTCAGCCTGGGAAGAAGAAAGATGTGTGGCCGTACAAGGGGCAAGTCAAGCCCCAGAGACTCTAAGTCCCCAGGGAACTGGAGAAGAAAAGAGGGGACCCAGCACCTGCCTCTGGTCCCTCGCTCCACCCAGACAGCAGCTCCTGGGAGCTCTTGGCCAGGACAGGCAGGTAGTTGCCACTATGACCCTGACTACATGGAAGGCAGGAGGCAGGTGGAGGGGACCCAAGCAGGTCCTCCTCCTGCTGGCATCAGCTTTTCACCCTGGAGACCAGAACAGGATGTCCAGCTCTGAAGAACAGGGCTTGCCTGGGACCTTCACCTCTCTTTAGCCTCTAAGCTCACTCCTTATACTTTGCAAGGCACCACTACCCTGCCCCCTCTCAGGGACACAGGCAGAGTGTGCTGGGGCTGAACAGAGACCAGACTGGATGATGAGCAGTCCTATTGACTGATGGTCTTTGAGGTCTGCAAGTCAGGGGCATGCATCCTAGCTCCATGACTCCAGCAAGTGGGAGCAGATTCCTGGAGGGCCCTTGCGGATCTACCAGCTGCCTCTGCAGGGCCACCTGACTGCCAAGCCAGATTCTCTTGAATAAAGCATTCTAGTCTGGACACATCCTGTCCAGGGAATGTATCTTCCAAAGCAGTGGACAAAGCAGAAAATAGAGGCAGGACAGATGAGAGTGTGGGAGAGGCAAAGGGCGCAGTGTCAGCTTCAAGCCTCAGTTTCCTTATCTCAAAAGCCTGCTGAAGCTGTGAGGCGACGTGTCACAGATGGTGACAATATGTAAGCTTTCCCTTCCCTTATTAACCAGGGGGAAACAGGCCTGAGATGGTAAAATGAATGATACAGAGGCAAAAGAGCACTGAGCTGGGAGTCAGAGGCCAGCCCTGTCCTGACTTCTCAAGTGACACTGGGTTTCCCTCTGCCTTCATACTGTATCTCTGGTGGAAGGCTTGGCTTAGACCCCTCTGGTTTTAACACATCCTAATGGAGCCCCAGCTGCTGTCTCAGTGGCCTTGAATAGTGACTGGAGACTATTCTGGTATAGACTATTCCAGGGCTGCCCCTGGGGTCACTCTGGGGTCTACCCCACCTTAAACTAGAAGCTCTGACATGTAGTCTCACCCCAAAGTTGGGGAGATACCTGGCTTCAGTCTCCTCTAAGCCCCATCATATTCAGGAGCACACCTCCCGTTCTTCCATCCCAGAGCCACCCCACACTCAGCCTGGTGCCCTGCCTCTGAACAGCCTGTGAATGGGTCTTCCAGGGTCATTAGGCCTAGGCCCACTGAAGAACAATGTCTCCCCACTGCTTGGGCTCCCGGATGCCTGGATCTACTGTCAACTTCCCCATCTTCCTCCCTAGTGCCTTGGTATGAAAAGGATCTAGTCCTCCTTTGAATCCAAACTACTTACTACCAGACTTCCATCTGCTTCTGACCCAAGAAGTGCTGTGAATATCTTTAATGCTATGTGTGCTGGTGGAAGAAATTCTCTATTCCCTCTGTAGCTCCCCTTCCTCAGTTGAAGCTGAAACCCACAGGGGCTCAGGTAATAGGCTGGGTCTGCCCTGGCTTTGGAGGGAGGCCATGATGGTGAGCAGTGTGGAACGGCCCTGCTCAGGCAGCTGCCCTCCATCATCTGTTCAGGGCCTGGGGCCCTGAGGATATTCAGGTCAGCATGTGCTTCTGGCTGGTGATCACAGAGAGGGTGTGGGCTGGCCCCAGGGGACTCAGCCACAGTTACAGCTTTCCTGCATCTCTCTTCAGCTGCAGCTGTTCAAAGCCATTGCCTTGGCTGCCTCAGCTGAGAAAAGTATCCCACCCCTTGCCCAGGCCTCTGGCTGGGCCCCAAGGACCCCAACCCCACCCTGTAGCATCTCCAAGGCTTTCAGCTCCTGCCTGAGCCAACAGCCTCTGGAGTGACCAAGACAGACACTAGAGTAGCTCCCGAGGTCAGAAGCAGAAAATTTGCATTCTTGGCCAGGGCCCCCATGATAGGAACAAGTAGGAAAGGAACATTAATTATGATGGGTGCATTTGATCAAATTGGCAGTCCTTTCAGGTCATCTGGGTCCTCGGACCCTTTTCATGGACTCATCACTTGTTTGTAGAATACCACCAAGTAACAGGCTCTGAGAGCCCTAGGGAGAGGAGCACACAGGCCTTGCCCTCTGGGCTCTCCTTCCACAGAGAAACAGATACTAGTTGTGTGTCAGAGGATGTGGGGAGGTCTTATCAGTTACTCAAATTGATGACTGAATTCAAAGCTAAGGAAAAGTGCCTCTTGGATGCCCCAGATTTTAAAATAAGAAACAGTTTGGGTCTGGAAATTTTTCCTACAGGATTCAGTAAGAGATACTTGAAGAGTTGCTGGCAAGATGGCTCAGTGAGTAAAGGAGCTTGCCATGCAAGCCTGACAATCTGAGTTTGATCCTGAAAACCCATGTAAGGGTGGAAGGAGAGAACTAATCCCACAAAGTTGTCCTCTGACCTCCACACATGTACAGTGGCACACTTGAACATCCTCCCCCCCATACACATATCATACATAGGCACATAAGCAATAATAAATAAAATTGTAAAATATTCATAGCTACAGTTGGGTTGGCAGTATATACCTGTAATCCCAGCACTCTGGAAGCTGAGGCAGAGGATAAAGAGTTCAAGGCCAGCCTGGGCTACATAGTGAAATCTTGTCAAAAGAAAAGAAGGAAGAAAATGTCTTGTTCCAAAATGTGGCTGTGGCACTTCAGAGATGGCCTTGACACTGCACTGCTCGAGGTGACACCTCTGCTCCCTCCCTTTGGGGCTGAGTCAGACTGGTCTGCTTTGGCTAGCAGCTGTAGTGGAAGGGCTGCTCCAGGGGTTCTGATCCCAACTTTCAAGGGCACTGGTGCTTCTACCTGGAACCTTGAGCTGTCATGGTGTTGACCATCCTGAAATCACCATGTTGGAAGAGAGCTCAGGCTAACCGTAGAGATAGGGAAGCAGAGAGAAATGCTTGGCCAACTTGAGCTCCTCTGGATTCAGCCATCATAGCCATCCCAACTGAGGCCTCAGACCTTCTAGAGCAGAGACAAACTATTCCTATTATGCCCTGCTTTGTTTCCTATGGCACAGAATCGGGAGACACCACAACAACTTATTGTTTTGGAGCAGTTTGTTCTACAATAGGAAACCAGAACAGAAAAACACAAAAGACAGAGACAGTGTTCAAGGGAAATACTGCAGACCAGAAGGTCATAGGAGGCCTCACTGTGGAGGTGACATTTACAGCATTGATGACATTATAGTCATGTGAAGATCAGACACAAGAGCACTCCAAACTGAGGACACTGATAGAAAGGGCTAGAAAGGCTCTCAATGTGACTGGAGTGTGACAGGCAAGGGAGGAAGGGACAAAGTAGACAGAAGCTGGACCTGAAGGGCTTTGCAAAACAGAGTAGGGAGTCTGTAGTTTGATATGATGTTGCAGGGGCTCAGGCTGATCAAGAAAGTGACACTGGGCCTCTTTTTGGAAGATTACTCTGCCTGGCATGTGGAAACTGGTCCCTAGGGACACAAGACTGAGGGGTTACAAATATTACTTAGGGGGCTGGAGATGGCTTAAAGGTTAAGAGCACTGGATGTTCTTACAGAAGACCTGGGTTTGGTTCCCAGCACCCACATGGTGGTTAAGAACCATCTGTAACTCCAATTCCAGGTGGGCCAACACCCTCTTCTGGCCTCTGTGGGCATTGTATGCATGAGTACACTTACATACATGCAAGCAAAACACTCATACACGTAAAATAAAAATAAAGTATTCAAAAAAGAAAGTGTAAGCCAGGCATGGTGGTGCACGCCTTTAATCCCAGCACTTGGGGGCCAGAGGCAGGCGGATCTCTGTGAGTTCAAGGCCAGCCTGGTCTACATAGTGAGTTCCAGTCCATCTGGGACTAGTGTTATCTGAGAGTACCACTGGAAACACTAGGTATTTGTTTAAGCGCTGGCCCCAGCCAGTGGGTGGCACACACCTGCCAAATTAACATTTGGATGGCTGAAGCAAGAGGATCACTAAGTTAGATGCCAAGTTGGGCTATATAGTTAGACCTTGTATCCAAAAAACAAACAAAAACCTAAATAACAACAAAACAGTATAAAACACTTAGAAGGCTGTAGCAAATTCAGGCAACCAGTTATGGGGGATAGTTCTAGTAAGAAGTACTAGAGATAGAAGTGGGAGAATTCCATTTGACTCATTCATGAGCATCAGCTGAGTCTCGAGGAGGTCTCTTATAGTAGATATATATGTGATGGAGCAAAATATATTAGCATGTAAATACCTTCCCTGTTCCCCACTTACTAAAGAAAATTCTGTTCTGCAAGAAATTAGGCAGCTAAGGAGAGTGGTTGCAGTTGAGAGGCTACATTGTCTACATAAGGATGACAAGGGAGAGGCAGATGGGGTATTCTCACTAGCTTTTAGTATCTTATTTTTATTTTATGTGTATGAGTGTATTTGCTACATGTATATAAGTGGACCCATGCCATGCGGTTCCCACAGAGGCCAGAAGAGGGTGTCGGATCCCCTGGAACTGGAGTTATGGACAGTTGTTGGACATGTGTGACTGCTGGGCATTGAACCTGGGTCCTCTTCAAGAGCAGCCAGTGTTCTTAACCATTGAGCCACCTCTCTAGCCCCTCTGGTTAGCTTTCTGTTGCTGTGATAAAACACTGACCAAAAACAATTTGGAGAGGAAAGGGTTTATTGCATCTTACACTTCTAAAGTGAAGGTAGGAACTCAAGCAGAGACTGTGGAGGAGCTAACTGGCTTGCTTCCTCATGGCTTGCTTAGCCTACTTTCTTATATGACTCAGGACCACCTGCCCAGGGATGGCACTGCCCACAGTAGGATGGGCCTTCTCACATCACTCAACAATCAAGAAAATGCCCCACAGATTCTTGATCTGATAGAGGAAATTCTTTAATTGAGGTTCCCTCCTCCCAGGTGTCTCTAGTTTAAATCAAGTTGACAAAAAACAATCAGCACCTGGGGAGAGGAGCTGGCACTACAGAATGAGTTTGGAGTTTTGTTGGGGAGCCTCTGATAGAACTTAGGGAGTTAAAGAAGGGCTTTGGGAACACAGTCCTATGCTTACTTAATGCTACAGCCCTAGTGTTCTTCAAGAGCCCATTCAATGAGACACCAGGCAGACTGAGGCCGGCAAAGCACCTAAATTAGTAGTCACACAGAGGTAAGTGAGAATTTTCTCTGCCCTTAGAATAATTGTTAAAAGGGCTTGGAATATACCTTGGGGGCTGGATACTTGCCTAGCACACACAGTGCTCTGGGTTCAATTTCCAGCACTGAGAAAAAAAAGTTAGTTAAGGGAATAAGATTATAATTAGAGGGAAGGAAAAGTTTTGACATTTGTGTTGTTCCTTAAAGAATACTCAAGCTGAGCCAAGCATGATGGAGCACACCTTTAATCCCTGCACTCGGGAGGCAGAGACAGGCAGATCTCTATGAGTTCAAGGCCAGCCTGGTCTATATAGTGAGTTCCAGGCCAGCTGGGGCTACAGGGAGACCCTGTCTCAAAAAGAGAGAGAAAAAGAATGCACAAGTCAGGCTGGAGAGATGGCTCAGCTGTTAAGAGCACTAGCTATTCTTGCAGAAGACCTGAGTTCAAATCCCAACACCCACATGATGGCTAGCAACTGTCCATAACTCCAATTTCAGGGGATCCAACACCATCTTCTGGCCTCTGTGGTCATTGCACAACACAGGTGAACGTCCATGCATGCAGGCAATACATTCATACACATAAAAGTTAAAATTTTTTTAAAAAGCCGGGTGTGGTGGCACATGCCTTTAATCCCAGCACTCAGGAGGCAGAGGCAGGCGGATCTCTGTGAGTTCAAGGCCAGCCTGATCTACATAGTGAGTTCCAGGACAGCTGGAGCTACAGGGAGACTCTGTCTCAAAAAGACAAAAAAGAAAAAAAAAAGAAAAATACACAAGTCATGAACCAAGTATGGTGGCATATATACTTGGGAGGCTGAAACAGGAGGATCATGAGTTAAAGGTCAGCTTGTTGGGCAACGTACCCAGAACCTGCTTCAACAAATAGAACAGCTCAGCCTACCAACCAAAGAGTAAACAAGTCTCCTCCCCAGTTCTAGGTGGAGGCAAACTGTGACTGAGATAGGACACTCAACCATTGAACAGCATTTCTCTAGTAGTTTTGTTGGGCTAGTGAGTTGGAAGCCTCTGAGGTTTTTAAAATATTTATTTTTATTTTATGTGTATGAGTGTATTGCCTGCATGTATGTGAGTGCACCCGTGTCATACGATGCCGTGGAAGTCAGAAGAGGGCTTCCGATTCCCCTGGAACTGGAGTTAAGGATGGTTCATAGTCACCATGTGGGTGCTGGGAATTGAACCTGGGTCCCTTGCAAGAGCAGTCAGTGCTCTTAACCACTGAGCCATCTCTCCAGCTCTGCCACTGATGTTTTTAAACAACAACAAAATGATGTGGTCTTGGAATTCGGGAC